TAAATCGGTGTTTTACCTACATATAGCGGATATAACAATTTTAACTGTTTTACTACATTTGTATTGACCTAAAAGTTTTTCAGTTCGTTTATGATCGATTATATTTTCTTGTTGAAATGTCTATCGTATTATTTATTACGTCAATACTCGATTGTCTGCTCTTATGAGGATGCCTGATCGGCATATAATGATAGTATTATGAAAATCTGTATATGATTGACACGTAGATATAATTGATGAAATGCGTTTAAAATGGCGTTGATCAAGATCATTTATAGATAATAAGTTATTATGTGACATAACTGGACTTGTATGTCCAAGCAAACATAGATAATCTGAAGGAATATATTGTAAATATTACTCTGAATAAAGTATTGGGATACTTGAATAATACAAGGAAGAAAACAATATTAGTTCTAGAAAAAAGCATTTTGAGAAATAGTATCAAATAACTGCATTTAAATGAATTATTCCATAAGATGAAAAAAGATTGAATGCCCAGTTAATCATAGTCATTTCAAAAACTACAAAATTCTAAAATTTACGAAAAATTTTACGTCTTTATCGAATTTGTGGCACAAACACGCAAGAAGCTGTGGGTGTAGGAAAAGTAACATGTAGGAAGCGTACGTTGCCATAGAAACAGAGGCTTTGCTCGCGTGTTATTTTGCCAACACTTGCACCTTCTTGCGTGTTTGTGCCACAAATTCGATAAAGGCGTAAAATTTTTCTTAACTTTTGGAATTTTGCAGTTTTCGGAATGACTATGACTGACTGGGTGTACGATACAACCTCTGTCGACAATAAAGAGGTCTATAAATATTGTAGTTTAACACGGTTTTTTCCGGCTTTCAGAGCGAAGTCACGAAGATAAGTTATATTAGATTTTATTTTAATATTCAAATTTACGCGTGAAATTCAAACTGTGCGTGTTTACCCAGTGAAGGAAAAAAAAATCGATTCTTACCGTATAATCTAAGGCATATCAGAAAACTGTTGCGTGCACTGGAAGACAAAAACATGGAAAAAAATGCAAATATCATCGTTTGAATGTTCACAAAAATTTGTTCATCTAAACATTTCTATTTTCACATTGATCACACAAATAGATAAACAAAAGAAAAAAAAAGAGCAAAAACCTCCATTCGGACGGATTTTGTTTTGGCATGAAAAAAATAAGAAAACAAAAATTTCCGTTTTTGTGTAATAACACTGTGTTCATAATATTTTATGTGTACATGTGTGTAAATAGTATAATATGAAAAAAAAACAAATGTGCAAAAAAGAAAGATCAATAGCAAATGCAGTTCACTGTGGATTAATTTTTCCAAATGTAAAACATATATTTACATCAAATTAGGCTGTGTATATCGGTACTGATTAAGATAATCGTTGTTACTCACTATTAAGAGAAAAACTTTATAAATTTCAGCTTCATAATAGAACATTCTCTGTATTTTTGAAGAAAAAAAAACACGTTATTGAAAGAAAAAGATGTTTAACCGTTGATTGATCATATAATTACTTTAATTAGTTGTAATTATCACCTCGAACAGAACAAGACTTATCTGGACTTACAGGAAATTGCTACTAAAGTATATAAGATATTTTAATTTACATTCTCAGTGCGAATTGGTTGGGAATTGGAAAAGAAAGAAAAAGAAAGTTTATAACAATAATTTTGCACTCTTATGCATGTATATATTCTTCTTAGTTTTCTTTTTTCACTCTTAAATGGGAATAAATACAACAAAAGAGGGATTTATTACAACAAAATGATAACAACAGAAAAAAGTATAATATTTTAATTGCACAATTAGTAGCAGATATAACAGAAGAAGAATGATAGACAGTATTTTGAGTAGTATATTAATTAGACACAAAAAAGAAAACATAAAAATTAATATTAAAAAAACAAACAAAGAAAAGGTTCTTGTAAAGTTGATTAGTTTTGTATCTTTGGCTAAACAATGCTTCGCATAATTATTTATTCTTTAGATTGAGATCAAACAACGAAACAAAACGAAAAAAAATGGCACCACAGGGGAGAGAGAGAGAGAGAGAGAGAGAGAAAGAAAGAGATCATATTTTATGAATGCGTACAGAAAAACGAAAAAGAATTTCCTACAACACGATTGATAGTCACAGTGGTATCATTATTTACAATTTGATGTTAACCATGTAAGTCCTTCAAATAGTCCATCTCCATTTGTTGCACAGCACGGTTGTACAAACCAAATTCGATCATGAGCTAGTTTTGATAATTGTAAACGATCTTGTACTTCTTGTGGTATCATACAATCTCGAATATCTTGTTTATTCGCAAATATCAATATAATTGCATCTTTCATTTCACGATCTGATATTATTTTATGTAATTCAACTTTGGCTTCATCAATACGATCGCGATCAGATGAATCACTAAATTTGAGCAGAACAGAAATATTAACTGTAACATCTGATCGGAACACGTTTTCAACTAAAAATTCAGTATTATCATCAATAACAACTTAGACTTATTGTATAGCTATCTTCTCGATGCATCTCATACAAAAGCTAAAAAAGATGTTACAAATTTATTTTAGTTTTTCTTTTTAGTGGTATTGATTGATCTGTAGTCTCTATACCCAGTTGAATGATTTACTTACACAACAAAGATTAGACCTTGCGATCCCGTGTAATAATGTCTCCATAATGGTCGAATTTTATCCTTAATGAAAAAAAAAATATATTGTTAAACTAACTGTCCTTATGAATTCTTTCATATTACATACTTGTCCCCCTACATCCCAAACATTAAACTTTACATTTTTATAAGTAACTGTTTCGACATTGAATCCAACTGTGGGAATGGTTGTGATCGAATGATTTAAACGTAATTTGTACAATATCGAAGTTTTACCAGCTGCATCTAAAGATAAATGCTGGTTATAATCTTATTTTTTTTTGACATGAAAATAGTTGTATAGTGGAAGAGTACAGTTAACATTACAGACAGGTAAAAATATTGATTTATTGTATCGTTCGTTCGTTTTTCTTTCTTAAGAAGAAGAATGTACATTGAATTGTCTTCTGTGATAACCTACTATCCATTTACAAGACCTAACAAATAAAATGGTTGTGTTACCTAATCCAAGCATTAATATTCTAAAATGTTTATTTCCAAATATTTTTCCCAAAAAATTTCCCATTCGAATAATAAAATAAACACAAATAGATCGAATAAAAAACCACTCTCTTCTCCTTGTTCAAAATATTGAACAAATAAATAAAACGGTGACAATAAAAAAGTTTCCGTTCACACGACCGTGGTAGATTTTAGTTTCTTGTGGGAAGTAATATCTTAAAAGACACATCAAACAACAATATAAATATCACGAGTTAAAAAAATTTGAGACAAGCAATCTCGCGTATGGAAATTGTTCGAAAAGACACGAACTCCTTCTGTATGATCAACGACCAAACAGTCTGTTTAGATTATAATAAAATCCACTTAAATCAGTCAGGCGATGAAATCTTAATCATTTATTCTCGAATTTTTCAATGTTCAAGTGAATTTACTTTAGCTAAACTTAGTGCCTACAGAAAATGTAATCCTCAGTCACATTAGAGAAGGAAAGAATTGTAGATTATTAGATAATCTTTCTACTCTTTTCCTAACTTAGGAATTAAGCACTAGTTGCTGTAGTCCTGTTTACAAATATGAACGCCGTCTGTTCTTATACCTGATGTATGAGACAACGGCCTAAAACAAACGAGCGTCTAATCTTAAGAATTGAAATTTGACTCAGCACTCAACCTCGATTTGTTATCTCTATCTGTTTTTTGTTTTTAATTTCAATATTTATTTATTTATCGCTTTACTTTACTACGATATGATGATTTTGTGTGATGAGTCATCCTGTTGCCATTTTGGAATGGATCACTGCAGGACCAACAGGAACACAGCCTAATACTGTAGAGTACTTTACCAGAGAAACTAACTCCAAAATGTCAGCAACATGAACGCACGTGCAGTGGAGACTTTTTTTGAGCTCGTTGCAAAAGAACTACAAGTGAATGATGTTTATGCAGACACAGTCTGCATTGTATTACCACATCCACTTCTGTACATTCAATGCATATCGTAAGCCACCTCATTAGAACAGCCGCAGTGAATATACGCGGACCAAGTACTTCGCTTACGTAATGATAATATCACTTGTCTTTTTTCATAGATAAATTTACTTGTAAATACCTGCCTTGTTGGATAAGTACTTGTCAAGTGAAATTGGAAGTGTTCACACAAAGTACTTCGTACCAATAAAACAAAATATTTCAATCGTGAGGAAGTAGTTGTAAAAGTTTATGACAAGAGTTTAAATATAGAACACAAAAAACGTTCCAAAAAAATGACCACTAATAACTTCTGGTTGATAGCACAACTTCAGTCGTTGTACAGAATATAGATACAGAACAATGGATTTAGTTTTGCAGTTTACTGCAAAGCTAAGTTCATATATTCGAATCTCTATTCGTACAAAATTGTTTTTGTATTTTTTGATAGTTTTAGTTTAGAATACTAAAATGGAATATTTTTCCTCTTGTATTCTGACAGAATAAAGTTTATATTAAACATTATGAGAGAGCTGAAAAAATCGACTTTTTTTGCGCCAGACGGATTGAGCTGAAATTCTGGGTAATGAATAACAACAATTAGTTATATAAATATTGTTTTGATGACTAACAAAATATGCTTTTCCACCAACTAACTTTGATTTAGAAACTAGGTGTACCTTCACACTTATTAAATTACTGCAAATGACGGAAAATAAAGACGGTAAACTGACTTTTTCGCCACCTTCTTCTTAAAT